CTTCTCTTTCTCTTCTCTTTCTCTTCTCTCTCCCCTCTCCCCTCTCCCCTCTCCCTCCCCCCCCCACCCCTCCCAGCCAAACCCCTCAACCATCATCTATCACCTAACCACCGGTACGTCCTCACCCACACATTTCCTACATTTCCCACGTCCTCACCTCCAGCAACTCCGAAGCCCTAAACCTCCCTCCCTACCTACCTCCCTACCTACCTACCCGACCCGTCCGTCTCTGATACCCCCCTTGGAGCCTTATCTTATCCACTCACTCACTCACTCACTCACTCACTCACTCACTCACTCACTAATTATCCACTATCCACCGCCTTGAAAGCCTCATTCCCTTCTTCTTCTTCATTCGTTCATTCATTCATTCATTCATCCATCCGGTTCAATCATTCATTCATCCGATTAAATCCAGTTCAATCCAGTTAAATCCAGTTAAATCCAGTTAAATCCAGTTAAATCCAGTTAAATCCAGTTAAATCTAGTTGGAAGAGGAATTTGCGAAACGTATGATGTAAGTAAGTAAGTAAGTGAATGAGTGACCGAGTGAGCGGTTTCTTTTCGATGGATGGATGGCTGGATGAATGGATGGATGGATGGCTGGATGGCTGGATGCATAGCTGGATGGGTGGATGAATGGCTGGATGGCTGGATGGATAGATAGGTGGATAGGAACCGCTTCAGAGGACCGGTACCGGTAGGTAGACAAGAAGAACAACAACAACAACAACAACAACAACAACAACAACAACAATAGTAGGTAGGTAATCCCACAGCTACTCATTAATAAGGTATCCTTACGAAGGGCAATACTGCCGAGGCGTGTGGCTGGCTGCCTAGTACTGTACTGTAGTACTGTAGTAGATGGGTACGGTACCGGTGGATTCGTTAGCGTTTGGATAGGCGAGGTTTTCTGGCTAGGGGGTTGAGCGAATAGATGGTGGGGTAAAGAGGAAAGATGGAAGGGATAGATGGATAATCGTACCCCTGGTCGGAGTACTAGTCAGAAGCAAGAATGCGGTTCTTAGTACCCTTCAGTAATACGGTCAATTCTCAGTAATAGTACTCTAAGTATATAACCTAATAATTAGCTAGTGCACGTGATTCCTTTTAATCGTATAAAACGAATCAGCTCTCTTAAACCTTAAGGAGCAGTTAGAATTCAAATATCTTTACAACCGAGTGTTTTGCAATTGCAAGTACTTTAACGACCTTTACGAAATTACGAATATATTCCTTAATCGCTTAAAAGCAATTCAACACTAATCAGTAGTTAATTTACTATTAAGTGATTAATCACAAAAAAGCTAAGAATACTTAATAGCGAAGATACTTTATACTCCGATACCTCTTTTCTTTTACAACGGAAAAGCGATTCCGTATTAAGTCGCTTATCTATACTATCGATTTACTTTTATTTCTATAGAAGAGTGATTCCGAATCAAGTCACTTACTACACTAATACCGTCATCGCTATAAAGCTACGCTAGCTATATATAGCAACAAAATATCAATTAAGATCGACTTACATACAAACAAACAACAACTATAGCCGATCGAGCAATTAGACCTTAAAATGAAGAGTCTAGCCGATAAAAAGGAACGAAGTATTATACTCTTCGAGTCTTATCACTACCTACGGAACTTCTAGCAGTTCAGCCGAAAAGACTATTATATCTAAGGCTTTCAGACTTATCGGAAAGACTAAACGACGAGATATCGAGCATCTCTTTTGACTTAAACGAGCTACCGTACGCAAGGCCCGATAGCGAAATCACGGCACGAGCGATAGTAAAGGACTTCTTAAATGCTAAATGCAAAAGGTTAAAAGACTACGACCTTTAGAACTTATTCCGACACGCTTTCTTACGCTAAGATTAAACGAGCTTTACAATAACAAGCGACAATCTAGCAAAAGAAGCTCTTAAGTTTGCTACCTTCATCAAGCTTAAGAAACACTTGTTATTTAAAAGCGTGTAGTACTACTTAAAGCAAAAAGGTTACGCTATAAGTGATCCGAATGGTCTTAGCGACTTAAACGATAATCTAAAAAGAAGAAATAAAAAAGGAAGCGAATAAAATAAGCACGGAAGAAAAGGAAGAAGATACGATGGCCCGACAAAAGATAAGAAAATGAGCCGCCAAGGGACCTTGGACGAGACCTTAGACGAAGATACGGAACCCCCGGCGGACCTAGGCCAAACCGACCTTTTACCGGCACCCTTTTTTCGACCCGAGTATTAGCAAAGCATACTTACGGCACTCCAAGAGCCCTTAACGACGATGATTTCTTTAAGCTCGAAACGGCAAACCTATACCCAAAGGCGAAGGAATTAGCTTTATTTGCAAAGAGTTTTCTTAAAGAATTGAAGTATTCAAAGCTTAAAAACGATTTTAATACTCGGCTCAAGATTTTTACCGACGACGCGTACCGATACGAGTTGATAATCGACGATTACTTAACTGCTTTCTTTATTATGCTTGCAAAAGAAGCAATTAGGTTTTATTATAATCACGTAATCAACGCTCGACTTCTTACGTTCAAGGAAAACGCTCTTGCGATAAAAGACCACTTTAAAACTAACCAACGGCGGCAAGCCAAATACGACCGTTAAAAAGAAATTTCTTTAAAATTGATTCGGAAGAAGACTCCCGCTAATTCGCTAGCTAAGTGCTTTAAAAAGCTCGAAAAAGAGCTAAAAGCAATGCAAAGAGCTCTTCGCCTAGTTTTAAAAGATGATCGAAGTCTCGCTAACAAGCTCTATTCAGCTTATAAAAACGTGCTAAAGACGACTATAGCTCGAATGAACTCCGCTTTTACCTTTACCGCCGCAATTGCTAATATCCGCCGCGCAATTGCTTTTACAACTAAGAACTTGCAACCTCTTCTTAAGATTAAAAGCTTACGACCTTCCTTTCAAGCAAGCAAAGCTTACGCGAGCTCTAGCGAGCCATTTGATTAACACACCTCTTCTTAAACCTCTTCTTAGCATACTTTAAGCAAAGCTGATTCTAACGACTTTAAAAACGAGTACGAGTGCTTCATTCAAGGCTGCTTATACGAAAGAAAGTACTGCGAGCACTTCGCAAATAAACGGGTAAATAAAAAAAGATATTGCGGTATAAGAGAAAAAAAGATTTTTAAAAAAAAAAAAGCCTTTTTAAAAAAGAATTTTTCTTTATTCTTCGTATTTAAATTTTTTTTTCTTTATTCTTTATAAAAGAATTTTATTCTTTATATCTCGTTGCTATTCAATACCTTCCTTTCTCGGTCGATATAATAATTAGCAAAGCACTGCTTACTAAAGAGAGAGTTGCCGGTGTCGGTATATCTATATCGACTTTACAATAGCTAGCTAATAATAGTAGTTAAAGAAGTTTACTTATAGACTATAGTTCACGGGCCACTTAGCATGCTTCGCTTAGTATACTATAGCTTAAAAGACTTTTAACTTAAATACCGGTATATAACTTAATAGTTAGCTAATGCACGTGATTCCTTTTAATCGTATAAAAAGAATCAGCTCCCTTAAACCTTAAAAAGCAACTAGAATTCAGATACCTTTATAACCGAGTGTTTTGCGATTGCAAGTACTTTAACGAACGTTACGAAGTTACGAATATATTCTTAATCGCTTAAAAGCAATCCAATACATCGCGTGTCTTTTAAATTGAGTTAAAAGATGCTATAGATCGAATCGACGGCGAATTTTTTTTGTTTTTTTATTTATCTTTTTTAAGCTCTTTCTTAAGCTTTTTTTATCTAGTAAATATTATTATTAGATCGCCGGTAGCGATCTCTTTGTAATATTCGTAAAAGTCGTAACGTCGTTAAAGTACTTGCAATTGCAAAACACTCGGTTATAAAGGTATTTGAATTCTAATTGCTCTTTAAGATTCAAGAGAGCTGATTTCTTTTATACGATTAAAAAGAATCACGTGCACTAGCTAACTAATAAGTTTACTAATCGAGTTGAAGGTCCTTGGACTAGTGTGACATGCTAAGCGAAGCATGCTAAGTAGCCCGTGAACCATAGTTCACGAGTAAACTCTTTCAAATACTACTAGCTAGCTAAAGTCGATATAGATATACCGACAAAAGCAAAGCAAAGCAAAGCAACGCAACGAAAAAGTAAAATAACTAAATAAATTAAAATAAATAAATACTAAAGAGTATTTAAAAAAAAAAAAAGA